CATTACATTTGCGAGCATTACCCTTACATTTGCGCGCAGCTTTTGATTACATTTGCGCGCATTCTTTTACAGGTAAACTCAGGTAAATATAGGTAGATTATATTTATTTATTTATTTAACTATTATTTTTCGAGCAGGATAAGTCCGTTTTATTTTGCACAAGCTGCTGGCGGTATAACGATGCCCAAAGACGTTGATGAAATAGGGAATCTAGTAAAATACCTTTTGCAGTTATCTACAGTGCATCGCCATGAAATATCCCGGACTTCAGTGTTCTGTCGATACGAATAGTAAATCCATCGTACACAAATGATCTCCCCCCCCCCCCCCCCCCCCCCCCGATTTGTTTCTGACAAACGAAACTCCATGTGTGTGCCCTGACGCAACTTTACAAACTTTACTTAAATTATTTTTTAAATCGCTATTCGGTAGAATTATGAAACAGAATGCTATTTACTTTGAAATATTTGCAATTAACTTACATGTACTAAAAGTCTGCTTTTCTTTTTTAAATTTAATTTGCTTTGAATTTTTCTGTTTGGTTCATTTGAAGATTCATTTATGGAAAATGTGTTACTATAAATGGATTAAAAGATCAAACCAAGAACAATAGGTGTACATCTGCTCTTAGCAACAATGTAAACATTCTGATCTGGATCTTTTAAATTCTTGCATATTGCATGTGATTTTTAAAACGCTGCAATGAAACAGACTATGAGTAAAAGTTATCTTTCTTAGGTGTTCTGTACCCCCTTAAGCTATTACGGGAGTTCTCATGATCACTGTATATTTTTTACAATTCAATACGAAAAATATATAATTTTAATTTACAAATAGAACATGTTCAAAATTCATATTAACTATAGTCATATTTATTATGAATTATCTTTATTTTACCTGTGTTACCTGTAAAATGAATGCGCGCAAACGTAAAAAAAAATAATCCCCAAATGCGCGCAAATGTAATGCGCCCGCTTAAAGAGGCATTAGCTGTCAAATTAATGTTCACCGATTTGATTCAACTGCTTATATTTGAAATAAGGGCGCATTACATTTGCGCGCATTTTTACGATCAATCAATCAATCAATCACATAGGTTTATCTCATCTTATAAGGTTTTACAAATACAATCATATTATCAAACCATACATTTGTGATTATTAAAGGATTTATTGGCGAACTGTGGTAATTTTATTAATGAATCCATTACATTCATTTATAAATATAAAAAGCAAATGACAGTCCTAAAAAATATCGTTTTTATACGCCCGTATTATGGTATACCGTTGTCCATCCGTCCTTCCATACGTCCGTCTGTCCGTCTGTCCGTCCGTCGGTCCGCCTGTCCGTCCGTCGTCAACATGTCGGACGATAACTCAAAAATGCTTTAACCAATTTGTTTTGGACCTTTTGTGAATTTGATATACAAAAATGTGGTGTATTGTTCATATCTATTGACGTGAGCTCCCTTTCGATTTTTATAAATTTTAGATTTTACGTTTCCGAGTTATGGGGTGTTATTCATTAAAAAAGGGGGGTTTTCCAGTTTTCGGACAATAACTCAAAAATGCTTTGAGCAGTTTTCATGAAACTTTGGTGAATTGTTTATATCTATTGACGTGAGCTCCCTTTCGATTTTCATAAATTGTAGATTTTACATTTCCAAGTTCTTTGAGCAGTTTTCATGAAACTTTGGTGAATTGTTTATATCTATTGACGTGAGCTCCCTTTCGATTTTCATAAATTGTAGATTTTACATTTCCAAGTTATGGAAAGGGGGATTTTCCAGTTTTTGGACAATAACTCAAAAGTGCTTTGAGCAGTGATGACTGGTTTATATCTATTAGAATAACCTCCCTTTCGTTTTTATAACATTCTGATATGACATTGAGTAGTTATGAAACTTTATTCTTTGAAAAAGCGACGGGCGTATCATGCGCTCATGGCGCAGCTCTTTATTGAATATGGTTATTGGGCGTCACGATTGAGAGATAATCCTTAAAGCTCACCTGTCCCACAGGGCCAAGTGAGCTTTTCTCATCACGTAGCGTCCGTATCCCATCGTCCGTCGTCGTCGTCTGTTAACTTTTACAAACATCTTCTCCTCTGAATCGACTGGGCCTAATTAAACCAAACTTAGCCCCCGCCATCATTGGGGTATATAGTTTTAACTAAAAAAGTTTTGTCTATTATTCTGAAAACACTGCTATAAATAGAGAAAATTTGACAGGGGCAGAAATGTTCAGAAAGTTGAGATCTACCTACTGTCCATTTACATCAAACGAATCAGACGACTTTTTATAGGAGTTACTACATAAATGACAAGTGTTATTACTTTTTTTTTTGGCCTTTCATCTTGAAAACTATAATTGTTCAAGTTTCTTTGCCTTTTTTCTTGAAAGATATAGTAAATAGACACTTTAAAAAGCAAAACTAATCAGTAAGACAGGATCTATAAATAAGTCTACAAGGACTAAATCGTCAGTCGACTCCTTTATATAATGACAATTTTTAACAATTATTTGCATTTTTGCGTTATATCTTGAAAACTATAAAATATAGACACTTTGAAAAACAAATATAATCAGCAAAAGCCATATGTAAAACAGTTTTAAATAAGTATTGTTTAAGAAAGAAAGATAAAGATATAGAAATAAAGTACTCAGCTTCATATTTTATATACGTTTTGGATTTTCAAATATTTTGGACACTACGATCACTGAAGAGACATTCATTGTCGATATGAGCATCGGGGGCAGTAAAATTGGTACCGTTTGTATTAATACTACCACTGGGTCGACACCTCTGCTAGTGGACTGTAAGTCCCCGATGTTATCACCAGCCCAGTAGTCCGTTACAGATATTGTTATTGCAATTTGCTGTTACAAAAATTTTAACAATTAAGTATTTTTTAAAATGAAGGAATATATCTCCCTCACGCAAAACTATGTTTCCTTAACCAGCTTTTGCTACACTTTGAGTCCTTTTCTGTTTTATCAGCTCTTGAATTTGGATTTTCAAATATTTTGGCCACGAGCATTACTTAAGAGACATTTAATGGCGAAATGAGTATTAATGTAATTATAGAGGTCAATTTAGCAAAAGCAATATTTGAAAAAAATATATATAAAGTAAGTTACTAGTATTGTTTAAGAAAGTAAGATAAAAAGAGAGAGAGAGAGACATAAAGGGTTTCTTTCTTTTCAGTAACATTCAGTAGCTCAGTAAAAATATATTCTTGTGTTACAATATATATATATATATATATATATATATATATATATATATATATATATATATATATAATAATATATATATATATATATATAATAATATATATATATATATTTATTCTGAAAAAAAACCTTTGTTGATACAATGGTATACAGAAACACATAGACAAACATAATAATATTATAAGACATATGATGAGGTAACAGCAAATAGAGACTCCTTATAGAGAAGAAAAGAATGCATAGGTTTGAAGGCTTACATTTTATCAGAGATAATCCACTTTTTTATTTATGATTCTAATGAACTTACACAACTTTTTAAGTTTTGATTGTTTTGAAAAATTCATAACTGCTTTAAACTTTAGAGTGTTAATGTTGGTACAGTATTTTTTATCTATACATTCTTTCCTTTCTTCTGAAAAATATGTACATTCCAAAATATAGTGAAATTCATCTCCAATTTCATTTCTATTACACAAGTTACATGTTCGATTTTCTCTGGGTATGTTTTTCCATCTACCAGATTCAATTGGAAGCTTGTGATTTACGGTTCTACATCTACAAAGAGTGAAAACGTCTTTATCGTCTAGCTTATTGAAATAGTTCTCAAAAGCGAAACTTTCTTTATAAATGCAGTAGTTAACCGTTTTGGGACTGTTATTAATATTTGAACTCCAAGTTTGAATAAATTGATCTTGGAGACTTGTTCTAATCGTATGTTTTAGCCAATCATAGTTATAAAAGTTTTGATAAGTCCATATGAAAGAAAGACCACATTCATTAAAAATGTTGGAAACATGATTGAGCCATGCAGATCTTAAAGAGGAATCACTTTCTAATTTCAGCAATAGATGAAACAAAATGTATCATAGTTTTTCTTGTCTGCCTTTTAATATACTCTTATCCACTATGCTATCATTCTGATTTTTATATCAATATTAGGAGGGTATCGGCCGGGTTCCCCATATACATGTATAACATAGTTAGGCGTAGTGGATTTTAAATAGAGAAGGAGTTTACAAAATTTTAAATGAACTTTTTCCAGGATGTCAATGTTTTCCTATCCCCATATTTCACAGCCATATAAAGGAATTGGTTTAACAAGTTTGTCAAAAAGATCAAGTTGACAGCTTATAGAAAGATTATGTTTTCTTCTATTTCGTATGACATCGTACATTGCGTTAGTAGCCTTTTCTGCCAAATGAAGTTTACCCGTTTTAAAACTCCCAGTTCTAGAGAAATATACCCCTAAATAATTAAAGTCTTTAACAATATCGATATTTGAGTTATTGTATTTAAATAGCAAATTCTTTTGTAATCTTCCCTTTGTAAAAACTACTATATTTGTTTTTTCAACATTCAACTTGAGTCCCCATATGTTACAATACATATTAAACTTTTCTATGGAGGCCTGGAGATCAGTAGCAGTTTCTGCAATTATGATCGTGTCATCAGCGTTAAAGTATAGCAATGTACGATTCTAGTAACCTATTTATAATTCCCAACCGTTATACAGGTGATTTGGCTTTATACAAGAATTTCTGATTGACCATAGATTTTTGTTTTAGCTAATTTGTTTTTGGAAAAATAATGTTTGATTTCTAGTATAGGAAAGTTAAACTTGGACGATTTCATTGGTTATTACGTTAGAAGGCAAACTCAAAAATTCTGAATTGACCTATGTTGCAGGCAATTTAGGATAAAAAAAACGGCCCAGCGGTAAGTACATAAAGTTTTTATCTAAATCTACGTTACCAAATACGCCCTTAGTACTTCCGAACAAAACGTCTTAAGATGTGTTTGGCAAGAAGAGATTGAAAATCTATCAAGATTTTTCAGTATTTTTCACTAAATGGCTGAATTGTTCGTAAATTGGCAATTTAAATTTTCGACTAGATAAGATCAAAGAATTTTATTAAAACTGTGCAATAGAGTCTTTAATGTGCATTTAATGTCACATTGCACTCCAGTATAAACAAATTGAAGAAATATACATGAAACAAATAATAAAATATAATTTGATATATATAATATAAAATATATTAGTCTTCTAGCTGTATATAAAGTGCTGATTTCAAATTACAACTTCTTGGGGTGGTGCCGATTGCGTCATCATCTGAACGAATGTGTGTACATAATCTACAAAAGTAAAAAAAAAATCAAGCGAAGGTCGAAACTTATTCTACAAAATAGTTTCATTTTATTATCTGACAAGTAGACTTAATTAACTGACAAGTCGACTTATTTAGCTAATTAAGACGACTTAACCAATTGACAAGAAGGGGCAGATATATGCCACCATACTTATGTCACATCAGAAACAAATTAATTAGCAGGGTTTTTATAACTGCATAAGCTTGATAAAATATATTGATAAAGTAAAACAATGATACACATCGCTTGGGGAAAGCCCTCATTTCTTTTATGCGTTGAAGATTTTTTATAACTAAATTTTCTTTATTTTTTTCAGCTTATTTCACTTATTTATGTATTCTTGCTATTATCAATACAATCTTACAATAACTGTAGTGTATACGTGCTGTCCCTTTACTCTTATACGAACAACACTAATTGTAAGAATTAGATAACATTGATAAAAGCAGAACATAATAATTAGGGAAAATAAGTTAAACTATTAAAAAGGTCATGCGTTTTTCAAACTGTTAATGACGTCTATTCACCAAATCAGTTGGATGTTGTTCTTTGTGTATATAGTTTTTTCTTGTTGTGTATGCTTCGTATTGATCTATTGAGTTAAGCTATTTGCAACAGGTTAAGGGGGATTGGGGCTTGAGCGCTCACAAAAATGTTTAACCCCTTTATTTGTTTTTGTCTGTCCCAAGTCTGGTCCCTGTAAATCAGTGGATGTCGTTTGTTCATATCTGTCATATACGTTTTTAATAAATTGTATTGTTATAAATTAGGCAGTTAGTTTTCTTGTTTCATTTGTTTTACATTTTTCATGTCGAGGCCTTTTATAGCAGACTTATACGGTATTAGATTTTCTCATTGTTGAAGACCGTACAATGACCTATAATTGCTTACATCTTCATTATTTGAACTCTGGTGGATAGTTGCTATATTGGTAATCATATCACATCTCCTTATTTTTATATTAATAAAAAATCTTAAACACACACATTTTCTGGAAGGGGTGCTTGCCCAAAGGGTCTGGCAAGGATATACAAGAGTAAACTATATTGTCAATAAACGTTGTTATTGAGTTGCTATTTCATAATTGTCTATCATTATGTATTAAGGTAACAACAGCACTTGCAGAACTGCACAAAATTTACAAAATTAAAGGGGAAAAATTTCAAGTTTAACAATAATTTCAATAATAAAATTTTTAAAGGTAGATGTTTTTGCATTGTTAAAATATGTTAAAAGATATATTAAAAAAGTCGCAGAAGATGTCTGGTGTGTCTTGATAATTCGTATTTCTATCTAGGGATTTGGAATTAAAATTGTAATATGATATGTTTGATAAACCTGCTGTGTACTGTTTGACAAATCAACAACCAGCTATTTATCAACATATTATTACCTACCCATTCCTGGCAAACTTAATTTGAAGAAAGCAAAGGGAACGTAGAGAATAACTCCTACGGCCAAAAATCCAACTGCATACCAAAACTCAGTCTTTACAGGTTCTAGAAACGGTGCTACTACTAAATATATAGAAAAAACAAGCACCACAACTGAAACCACTATAGGAACCTGAAACAATTAATTATTACACTTATATCATACATGTATAACTTGGAATTTAAAATTGTTTTGTTCTTGGTTGATGATATTGGATATATAATACACGAACTTAAAAATAAATAAGTAAACGAATATACAAATAGAAATACACAAAAGTGAATAATCAAGAGAGTAATTAAATATGGAAAGCCAACGGGGTCAAAATTCTTAATTCGTGAATTGTCAATTTGTAACTTGTAACTGTGTAATTTCAAAAATCTTAATTCGTAAATTGTTAATTTGTAACTTGTAACTATGAAATTTCAAAATTCTTAATTCGTAAGTTGTCAATTTGCAACTTGTATTTTTGTACTTTCAAAATTCTTAATTCGTAAATTGTCAATTTGTAACTTGTATCATTGTAATTTCAAAATTCTTAATTCGTAAATTGTCAATTTGTAACTTGTATCTTTGTAATTTCAAAATTCTTAATGCGTAAATTGTCAATCTGTAACTTGTAAATGTGTGATTTCAAAATTCTCTATTGGTAAATTGTCAATTTGTATGTTGATGTTTTGTAACTTGTAACATGTCAATTCGTTAAATGTCAATGTGTTAAATGTCATCGTTGTATTATGTATGGCCCGCCTGAACCACTTTTAATAATTAATCTTTGATTATCTCAGATAAACTATGATTTTCTCAGATAATCCCGGTTTATCTCAGATAAACTAAGATTATCTCAGCTTATATCAAATTCGAGAAAATCCTAGTTTATCTCAGAAAATACAGAAAATTCATTATCTGGAGAAAATCCCGGTTTTTCTCAAAATATTAAGAAAATCTAGGTTTTTCTGATCGATTTTCAGATAATCCTAATTTATCTCCAGATAATTAATTTTCTCAATTTCAGATAATGAATTATCTCATTTCTCGAGAAAATCTAGGTTTATCTCGGATTCTAAATATACAAAAGAACAATGTAACGAGTGTTTTAATTGGACGACAATCCGGCGTTTAACGTTTTACTTTCTCTTTGAAACCATGATGGTGACGAATTCACTTCCTATTATTTAGTGAACGGGGATGTGCCAAAATATGGGTCATAATTTTGCGAGATTTTATATGAAGATTAGCGTCCTTTTTCAGAGGAGGGGCGACATTCAGCATACGGCACGCAATTTTTACTTATATTATTGATCGATCGCTGTGTTATTGTGTCATTTATCACTACTCGTGGTGTGAACATCACCGTTATTGACACCTGGACATGCGAAATTTGTTGAATCAATTATAAAACAAGTAATATACAGAAGGGCTGATTATATACAATATACATATACTTTGTACATACATAATAAACAAATTTGGTAGCTATTTCTTTTACACAAACTGACTGTTTATTACCGACGCTAATTTCGACATCGATAATCATTGAATTCTCATATTTTAATTCATTCAGTCGATTTTAATTTTTTAATCATGACAAAGTTTTGTAAAGTATTTAATTTTAACTATTGCATTATTTCGTCATTTGTCGGTAAACAAAATAGATAGCACTAGCAAGAAGGCAACTAAGTAATCCAATACACATAATGCACGTGTAACGAAAATCGGTCATAGTTCATTTAATTTGATGTGAAATACCACTTGTCTTTTCCTGTTAATTGTGTTTCTATATGTTTATAAGTTTCTCCATAGTCGGAGCACCATATGTTACTTAAAACACCCCTAAAGTTGGTATAGTCATGATTTTCACCCCTTTAAGTATAATGGACTGATCCAGATGGTAGTATATAAACCAGCTCAAGACAGAGAAACTCTGTCAGTTTTATGTGGACCATTGAAGGGTAAACTTCAAGGATTATATATTCTAACTGGTAAGTAGAGTGAATTTAGTGATTCCAAAGGATATAAATAGTGTTTGGATTTATATGTGAATATTTGGAATAGTGATTGTGTTATAAAGTGAACTTATATAATAAGTTATTGTACAGTGAAAGTACAAGGTGTATACTTGCTGGTGTTGCAAGTTGTTGTATTGTGGAAGTGTATTAGTGAGAATACAAGGTGTATACTTGCTGGTGTTGCAAGTTGTTATATTGTGGAAGTGTATAAGTGAAAGTGCACTGTGTTTAATCTTACCAGTTTGGAATATATTCATTTCGTTCTGATTCATAGTGATAATTAGTGTGTGTGAGTTGAGCTGTGTTCATATAAATTCCTTGTGCATTGAAGCATTGTGCAAGTGTCATTGTGTCATTGTGTTATTGTGGTTAATTAAACATTCATAAGGTGATATTACAAATTGGTGGATATTGTTAATAGATGTTGTATATATGTGCTAATGTGTTCATACGTTTTGTGTGATATTTATCTGATGCATGTTGCATAGTAATCTGTTGGTGACATTGTGTTATAAAGTGTCTGATGCATGTTGCATAGTGATATATTAGTGACATTGTGAATAATCAGGCCTAATACATGTTGCATAGTGATTGCATAGTGACATTGTGTATATATATTCTGTTATAAGACATTGTGTTTATACATTGTGAATGAGGAACTTCACCTTGTAATTTAATTTATGTGCATTGTGTAGCGTATATATTTGACATTGTGAATTCATTTAAGGGTGTGTTAATTGTTTTAAATAGGACAACTTGTTGTGGTGCAAATTTGAGTTGAACACTTGAAATCCTGATTTATTCAGATACGGATCCATTGATCGCCCGTTACACGTTACAAATTTGGTGGCAGCGGTGGGATTTCATGTGTTTCATTGTCGTTAATGTAAATACATATATGATTGATCCAGTTGTGAATATTTTATAGATAATTGTTATTTTCCTTTTTGTAGTTAAAATAGAGATAGAGTTAAAAGAAGTAAAGATAAAGTTGAAGAAAATTACATAAGGTGAGTACTGTTCAATAATATACAATGGCACAAAATCAATTTGATTCAGATATTGGACAGTTAAACAATGTAATTGAAAGATTAGAAAGCAGTTTAAAACATAGCTTTATGCATTCAACGCCTAAAAGTGATAAGATTAAGTCTACTATTTCGCAAAGTGAAAAAGATTCAGGAGTAGCAAGTGGTGTTGATATGAGTAGTGAGGAGAATGTTTTAACAAGAGATACGGTAGTGTTTAGGACTGAAAAACCGAAAGTACGTTTTGTTGATAGTTTACCGGGCAAAAGTGATAGTTTTTCCGAAAAGGATACGTTGCCCCTGAGTGCAAGTAAACAAATTGTAAAAAGTGACAATAGTTGTGCCGAAAAGGGTGAACGTAATGTAAATACTAAAAATGAGATAACAGATAAGGACAAACAGTGTCGGAATAGTGAACCCCATAATCAAGGTGTTAAGTGCAAACCGGCAACATACGACGGGATAAGTTCATGGATAGACTACAAGTCTCATTTTGATATGGTTGCATTAGTTAACAATTGGACCGAAAACCAGAAGGGTCTTTATCTAGCAGTTTCACTTCGAGGCCAAGCGCAAGCAGTGTTAGGCGATCTACCAACAGATGTGCGAAGTAATTTTGTGACACTTGTTAATGCACTTGAGGAACGTTTTGCCCCGACCAGTCAAACAGAGTTGTACAGAGTTCAATTTCGTGAACGGAAACAAAAGGCATCTGAAACTTTGCCTGAAATGGGACAAGCAGTAAGGAGACTTTCTAACCTTGCATATCCAACAGCTCCGCGTGAAGTGCGCGAAACATTAGCAAAAGATCAATTTATTGACGGATTGTTTGATTCAGAAATGCGATTAAAAATAAAGCAATCACGGCCCATTAATTTAGATGAAGCTATTCGCTTAGCAGTAGAATTAGAAGCCTTTAATCAGGCTGAAAGTAGTAATAGGGGGAATCGTGGACATTTGCGGTCCACAAATCAAAGTGAAAACATTGACACTACTGATATTAATTCTCGTGCAGACACGTGTGCTATGGAAAAAATAGAGATGTCAATGAAAACAATGGAGGGAATGATAAAAGACTTGCAAAGTGAATTAGAAAAAATGAAAAGTTCTGGGAACAATTTTGACAATAAGAGATGGGCAACAAACAATAAGCGAAATAAAGAGTGTTTTAATTGTGGTAAACTAGGACACTTTCGAGCGGAATGTAGAAATCCGTCACGAAGGGATACAACAAGAAGATTACTTACAAACAGAAGTCAAAATCATAATGCTGAATCAAGGGTCTCAATCATTGAAGACGCCGGTATGTATGTTGATACAATTCTAAACAAACGATCTTGTAAGTTTCTTGTTGATACAGGAGCAACGTTATCTATTGTATCCTTTAAACTTTATGAAAGTTTGCCAAAACATTGTAAGGTTGAACTCTATAAAACATCCCAAAACATAACATCAGCCAATGGTGGACTTTTGACATTGTACGGTAAAGGATATTTTAGTATTCAAATTGGAAAGGAGTCATTCAAGTTGGAAGCACTTGTAGCGGATATTAAAGCCGAAGGAATACTTGGACTAGATTTTCTTAAGGCAAACAAATGCGTATTGGATGTTGTGTCTGAAAAGCTTTTTCTCGGAGAATCTGAGATACAATTAATATTTGAGGGACCCTTAGGATGCTATCGGGTTGTGTCATCAGAAACAGTAAGTATTCCTCCATCCTCAGAAGTTGTTGTAAACGGAAAGGTATGTTTTCCTGGTGGATATAATCTGAATAGCTTTGAGGGTGTTATTGAACCATCGGAAAACAATGCGAAAAACGATGGACCCTTGATAGCAAGAACTTTAGTAAAAGTTAATGAATGTGTTCCTGTTAGGTTACTGAATATGAAGCAAGATTCGCATGTTGTGTACCAGGGTTCAACAATTGGACAAGTACATAAGATTGAATCTGTTTGTGAGGACACACATACGGATTTGAAAAACAAGCAATCATTTGAGCTTCGCTCGGATCTGAAGGCTTTATATGAGAAGGCTTGTGAAAATTTAGACGAACAACAAAGTAATCAGTTAAAAGTACTTATAAGCAAATATGAAGGGTTATTTGCTGAATCGGATAAGGAATTAGGCCACACTAATCTTGTGAAACATAGAATCAATACTGGGAATGCACAACCAGTCAAAGAACCTCCTAGGCGCGCTCCAGTTCATTTACGACAAGAAGTAGATAAGAACATTGACGATATGCTAGAAAAAGGAGTCATTGAACCATCTAATAGTCCTTGGGCATCAGGTGTTGTATTAGTGAAGAAAAAGGACGGATCTTATCGCTTCTGTGTTGATTATCGAAGATTGAATAAGGTAACGGTAAAAGATGCATATCCTCTCCCTCGTATTGACGATTCCTTGGAACAACTTGCTGGCAGTGCCTGGTTCTCAACGCTGGACTTATGTTCAGGCTACTGGCAAGTGGAAATGCATCCTGATGATAGTTACAAAACAGCTTTCGCTACAAGACGAGGCTTGTTCCAATTCAGAGTTATGCCGTTTGGTCTATGCTGTGCACCCAGTACATTTGAAAGATTGATGGAAACAGTTCTTGCTGGGTTGCAATGGGACATTTGTTTAGTTTACTTAGACGATGTTATCGTAGCTGGAAAGACATTTAGTGACATGTTAGTTAATCTTGATCGAGTATTTGAAAGGCTAGGTTCAGCTGGTCTTAAGCTTAAAGCAAAGAAATGTTCTTTGTGTGCAAAAGAGGTATTATTTTTGGGACATGTCATCTCAGAAAAGGGGATTGCCACGGATCCCTCAAAAATTGAAGTCGTGAAAAACTGGCCAACCCCAAGCAATGTGACTGAAATACGTTCGTTTTTGGGACTATGCAGTTATTACAGACGGTATATACAAAACTTTGCAAGTATAGCCAGGTGCTTACACGTCCTTACAGAAAAGGGAAAACCCTATATATGGAGTGTTAAATGCCAGGAATCGTTTGAAATTTTGAAAAACCACCTGATAAAAGCCCCGATTCTGGCACATCCAGATTTCACAAAGGATTTCATTTTAGATACAGACGCAAGTAATGAATCAATTGGTGCCGTTTTATCACAACTTAATGATCAAGGATCTGAAGTTGTAATAGGTTATGCTAGCCGAACATTAAGCAAGGCTGAAAGGCGTTACTGTGTAACAAGAAAAGAACTCCTAGCAGTTGTTAACTTTGTAAAACATTATAAACACTATCTTTACGGTAGACGATTCGTAGTAAGGACAGACCATGGCTCATTACGCTGGCTTATGCAGTTTAAAAATCCAGAGGGCCAATTAGCTCGCTGGTTAGAAGTCCTTAGTGAGTATGAAATACAAATAGTACATCGTCCAGGTGTGCAACATCGAAATGCCGATGCTCTAAGTCGTGTACCCTGTAAACAGTGTGGTTATTTTTCCAACTGGGACGAAACACAGGAGAAAAATGAAGCCAGTGTTTGCGTTTTAACGGACACCTCAGACGAATATAAGGATGATCAATCACATCTCAAAGAATTACAAAACAATGACAAAGATCTCCTTTACATAAAGAATTGTTTACGAAATCAAAAACGTCCAATGTTCAGTGAAGTATCAGGTAAGGGTTTTGTTGTTCGAAGCTTGTGGTCTCAGTGGGAGAATCTGCAACTAAAAGACGAAATTCTAATCCGAAATTATGAAAGTGAAAACGAGAAAAATCGACGACAAGTGGTTCTACCATTTACAGAACGAAGAAATGTTCTTCAGCGATGTCATGATGATAAAACATCAGGACATTTGGGTACAAGAAAAACATTAGAAAAAATACGACTTACCTTTTACTGGCCTGGATTACAATCAGATGTAAGATTGTACATCAGGGGTTGTGATTTTTGCTCTAGAAAGAAACGACCAATTCCAACAAAAAGAGCACCAATGGGAATAGTACAAAGCAGTTTTCCAATGGAGAGAATAGCGACAGACATACTTGGAGAATTACCAGAAACAAGGAATGGAAACAAGTATATCCTCGTTGTGTCAGACTATTTCTCAAAATGGACAGAGAGTTTTCCGATGCCAAATATGGAGGCTGAAACGGTCGTAAAACTTATAGTAGAAGAAGTAATAACAAGGTTTGGAATGCCAGCATACATTCATTCCGATCAGGGACGACAGTACGAAAGCAACTTGTTCTATGAAATGTGCAGAGTTTTAAACATAAAGAAAACAAGAACAACGCCATATCACCCCCAATCCGACGGGATGGTGGAGAAATTCAATGGAACACTTGCGAAAATGCTGAGTGCATATGTGAACGACAATCATGATGACTGGGACGAATATCTACCTTATGTCATGATGGCATATCGCAGTGCCGAACATGAGACAACAGGTTATACGCCGAACTACTTGATGTTTGGTAGAGAAGTATCAACCCCACTTGATATTATGTACGAGATGCCACAGGCACAAAAAGAAGTACCAACCAATAAGTGGGCTTGGAAAATGAAAGAAAGGATGGAAAATGCACATTCAATAGTACGAAAGAATACCGAGACAGCAATGCGTCGACAAAAGAGATATCACGACTTAAAGCTGTCGTGGCAAAAGTTTGAAAAGGATGACGAAGTGTATGTTTATTTCCCTGTGAGAAAAAGTGGACGATCACCAAAGTTTACTTCATTTTGGAGAGGTCCATTTAAGATAATAAATCGGTGTACAGAAGTTACATACAGAGTCAACTGTGCTTATAGAGGAAAGGAGCAGGTTATTCATGTTGATAGAATCCGCAAGAAGAATATGCAAAGGCTCCGAGACGAGGCGATAGAAAGTGAGAACGGTCAGGAACGAGAACCAGTTAACGATGTATGTAGTACGGAAGGTTGGGGGGACATGCAAAATGAAGAACAGATTGTGACAAGTGACTCAGGAACAAAGTGTTTGGAAGAAAGTAGTCATGAGCCTGAAAAGAGAAGGCGTTGTAAACCAGTATGGATGAAGGATTACTGTGTTGAATAGGCATCCAGGTGTATCTTACGTGTATATAAAAGTTAGTTTTTTTTATGATGTACATAAAATTGTATATATAGTTGGTGTTTTTTTTTTTATAGTTTATTCTAAAGATTAATAGTGTGTTTTTATTGCTGTATTTTCAGAAGGACATCATGCCAAATACCAAGAAAACAGCAAGGAAGGTTGTTTTTACACAAGTCTTAGAGGAAAAGTTTCAATGTCCATTCTGTCCTCTTGAATTTGGAAATAAGGAAGACAGAAACCGACATTTAATAGAATGCACAGATTCAAGGCTCTTCTGTGAATTATGTTCCTATAACACAAATAAGAGAACCAATCTTACCAGGCACTTTAAGAAGGTCCATTGTAGTACGGATGATAAAGATGAATCTGAGGACACTGAGGCAGAAGTGGAGAGTGAGATTGATGATAAGACAACTAAAAAGCAAAAACCAATAACAAAACCAATCTCTGGAGATAAAAGTAAAGATGAAAACAACAACAAGAAACCTGTATCTTCAGGTGAGCCTTCAACTCAAACAGTTGACACAAATAAAACAAACATAACCACAGAACCAGAAGAAGGAGGAAATTTTGAAGATACAGTAAAGTTGGACAATTCAAAGAGTCTGTTTACAGATTATGACGATATCTCTAGTGATGAGGATGATGATGATATAGGACTTATTGATAAACCAAGCGAACTAATTGTTAGTCAGCCAAAGAAGCCTGTTGACGAAATAGATGAGAGTGTGAACATGGGAAGAATTTTCAGGAAGAAAACAGATCCCATGCCTATAATTGCACCAAAGAAAAGGAAAACAACTACAGTACAGGATCTCAAGAAGAAACTTGTAAAGACAATGCCTGGTATAACCAGTATTAATACAGCGACTCTGGGATCGGATAAAATGCCTCACAGTTGTCAATGTAATTGTAATTTGGATAACATGAAGACTGTATATGTGAAGACAATTACAAAGTATCTGAAAGATGGCAAGCAAGTGAAGGTTGTTGAAAAGAAGGTTCCTAAGTGAATAACGAACAATTTGTCATTTCATGGACTAGTTTAATTTGACTTTGATTATTATATGATTGTGTTGCTACTTTGTGTTTATTTTATTCAGTCGAAAGAAATGACTGAAATAAATCATATAATTCTGCCATGTTTTTGTGTTTTATCATTATGTGTCCTTCGGATGGGGACGTTAAATCCGAGGTCCCATGTACAGGGAAATACCACGACCTGTGCATGTAAAAGACCCCTCCTGCAGATTTCGATAAGAGTAGGCCTTGTTGCCGCTGCAGAGGCTAAATTTCTTCAAACCTGGTTAATGCAATATATTTCCCAGTGGTAATCAAAACTCTGATATGGTTGTGCTTCTAGAAATTAGGTCTAAATATTTATTGAAACATGTGTGTAGTACTGGTTGTATCAATGGATAATGAAGAATTTACATCATGCGGGACGCATGAGTTTTGAGGCGTGGGTAGTGTAACGAAAATCGGTCATAGTTCATTTAATTTGATGTGAAATACCACTTGTCTTTTCCTGTTAATTGTGTTTCTATATGTTTATAAGTTTCTCCATAGTCGGAGCACCATATGTTACTTAAAACACCCCTAAAGTTGGTATAGTCATGATTTTCACCCCTTTAAGTATAATGGACTGATCCAGATGGTAGTATATAAACCAGCTCAAGACAGAGAAACTCTGTCAGTTTTATGTGGACCATTGAAGGGTAAACTTCAAGGATTATATATTCTAACTGGTAAGTAGAGTGAATTTAGTGATTCCAAAGGATATAAATAGTGTTTGGATTTATATGTGAATATTTGGAATAGTGATTGTGTTATAAAGTGAACTTATATAATAAGTTATTGTACAGTGAAAGTACAAGGTGTATACTTGCTGGTGTTGCAAGTTGTTGTATTGTGGAAGTGTATTAGTGAGAATACAAGGTGTATACTTGCTGGTGTTGCAAGTTGTTATATTGTGGAAGTGTATAAGTGAAAGTGCACTGTGTTTAATCTTACCAGTTTGGAATATATTCATTTCGTTCTGATTCATAGTGATAATTAGTGTGTGTGAGTTGAGCTGTGTTCATATAAATTCCTTGTGCATTGAAGCATTGTGCAAGTGTCATTGTGTCATTGTGTTATTGTGGTTAATTAAACATTCATAAGGTGATATTACAAATTGGTGGATATTGTTAATAGATGTTGTATATATGTGCTAATGTGTTCATACGTTTTGTGTGATATTTATCTGATGCATGTTGCATAGTAATCTGTTGGTGACATTGTGTTATAAAGTGTCTGATGCATGTTGCATAGTGATATATTAGTGACATTGTGAATAATCAGGCCTAATACATGTTGCATAGTGATTGCATAGTGACATTGTGTATATATATTCTGTTATAAGACATTGTGTTTATACATTGTGAATGAGGAACTTCACCTTGTAATTTAATTTATGTGCATTGTGTAGCGTATATATTTGACATTGTGAATTCATTTAAGGGTGTGTTAATTGTTTTAAATAGGACAACTTGTTGTGGTGCAAATTTGAGTTGAACACTTGAAATCCTGATTTATTCAGATACGGATCCATTGATCGCCCGTTACACGTTACACACGATTCAATTATGGAAAAAACAATTATTTCATCATGGTTATTCATTAGACATAATTTTCATTTTGTTTTCAAAATAATTAAATACATAAGAGTTTATATGCCACGAACCTTAAAGCGCCAGTTAGTAATTGTAGGATATAAACAATAAATGTACATAATGATTGTCTGAATACAAAATGTGTGTGTACTCGCTAACACAGGAGAAAACCTCTGTTTCTAAATCTTGAACCAAAACGTTTTATTCTTACAGGTAAATGTAATTACAGGTGACAAGATTGTCAAAGCTTTACCTGTTATGTATATGTAAGTCTAGGTTAGTCTATAAAAAGGTATATACTATGAAATTTAGAGCGAGGGGCTTGCCCCGAGCTCTTAATTTCATAGTATATACCTTTTCATAGACTAACCAATTTAGCACATATTTACAACTCGAGTAATCTTTTAATTGGTCTATTGATAGTTTATTTTGGCTGACTACTTGTATCACAGGTGTTTGTAAAACGGAGCTCATTAACGAAGTTTTGTAAATCTACTCACTAGTATCATTTTAAAATATGTGATTGCAAAAGGCCCTTGACTCCAGAATGAAAAGATGGTAGCTGCTGGTGTAAGTATGTATATTGATATAAAGCGGTGTTTTACTATACATGTTCTTCTTACATGGTAAGATGACCAAATAAATTGACCAAAAGCAGGCAATAATTAAATTGCAGTGGAAGCTTTACATGTGTTGAAAACATTTTTTAATTTCACTGTAAAACTAAAGCTATAATAAATTTGAAACATATAGATAGTTTGTCCCCATAGATATAGTCTAGCAGATAGGCATTAAAAAGCAACTACCAATAGATCAGAGATTATAGGTTTTGTGTTTTTTTTTTTTTTATTATTTCAAAGTAAAAACTAAAAGATTTATCAGAATATGTTTATATGTTTGTATATATAATTGGCACATTATCTTCAGACATAATCACAGTTTTTCAATTCATGACATCGTCCTGAACATGCATGAAATATTTGCCACTGGAAATTAAGTAACCGATAATCAATAAATCAATCAATTCATGACGAAATAGATCACCTTCCTTAAGAAAGTTTAAAAAATTATCACCAAGTTGCTTTAATTTCCCTTCACAAGGTTTCATAGTACACACTTTTTTGTGTACAAAGTAATTGCATGGATGATGCATTTTCATAATTTTAAGATATCGTTGTACTCTAATCAAGGTATAAAGAACCATATGTATTACCCTAAATATTTAAATGAAAGAAATTTGCAATTGTCAAAAACATTTTTTAGATCCAAAGATTTTAATAGCAGGATATTTAAAAATCAGTGTGAAGACTAATTACAAACTATTTAATTTAATTTGGAACACAGCATTTTATTTCAAAATAGCCAGTGGCAATTTTTGTTTTAAATATCTTGATTACGATACAATTAAATCTTACCCTTGTGGTCATTCATGCATGAATGAAAACAAGTTTGAAGACGAGTTTGTCATCGATAATGATTTGAACTCTGATCATGTAAATGAGACACTGAATGGTGTAATTACACATGACGAAATTATTAAAGCTATTAAAAAGGCGAAAAACAACAAATCGCCAGGTGAAGATAAAATAATCAATGAATATGTTGCAAATTCTCTTGACAGTATGATTGATGTATATTCTAAATTGTTTAATCTTATTTTTGATACGGGTATTCTGCCGGAGGCCTGGCTTATTGGAAACATAATACCAGTGTTCAAGAACAAAGGATGTCAATTAGAAGCAAAAAATTATAGGCCTATTACTTTATTGTCATGCCTCGGTAAGATTTTTACATCTATTCTTAATGATAGATTGGGGGAATTTGTTGATGAACTAAATATCTTGAACGAAAACCAAGCAGGCTTCCGACAGGGCTACTCTACCAACGATCATATTTTTTCATTATATGCACTCTTCGAGTTGCTATGTGTCAAACGAAAAAAATTACATTGTGTATTCGTTGACTTTGAAAAAGCCTTCGACTTTGTTCAAAGAAACTCACTTCTGTATAAGCTTGTTTTAAATAAGATAACTGGTAAATTTCTTAGAATTGTAGAAAATTTGTATAAAGATGTTAAATCAAGAGTTGTACATAATAATGAAGCATCTGACATGTTTGTAAGTGATATTGGAGTCCGCCAAGGAGAAAATCTTTCTCCTTTATTATTTTCTTTATATTTAAATGATCTTCATGGTTTTTTAGAAAATAGCGATTTGAAAGGTATACATTCAATTACTTCTGATATAGAAGATGAACTGGATATTTATTTTAAGATATTTGTCTTATTGTATGCCGACGATTCGATTTTACTCGCTGAGACAAGCACAGATCTGCAATTACTTTTAAATAGTTTTTCTCAATATTGTGAAAAGTGGAAACTTAAAATTAATGTTAACAAGACAAAGGTAATGATATTTTCAAAAGGTAGACCACAGAATAATTTGAAGTTTTATATTAATAACGAAGAGATAGAAATTGTTAAGAAGTATAAATACCTTGGTGTTATATTCTCTAGAAATGCTTCTTTTTTTGCAACTAGAAAATATCTTAAAGATCAAGCTACTAGAGCTATGTATTGTGTTATTAAGAAGTGTAGATCTAACCATCTATCTATAGAATGCCAGCTCGATACGTTTGATAAAGCTGTTTTACCTATACTTTTATATGGGGCCGAAATCTGGGGATACGAAAATCTTGACATTTTGGAAAGGGTACATTTGAGTTTTTGTAAACATGTTTTACGGTTAAAAAGATCGACTCCAAATTTTATGGTTTACGGGGAATTGGGAAGATATCCTATTTCTTTATACGTTAAATTACGGATGATAAAATTTTGGTGTAACCTTCTTGATAACACACTTGATAACAAGATTTCGTCAATGTTATATAAGTTGATATATATTAATTTTAATAAGTATGGAATTGAAAACAAATGGTTGTTATGTATCAAAAGTATTTTTGATAATTGTGGAATGTCAAATATATGGCAAAATCAAGATTGTATCTCAAAAAAATGGATTGTATTAAGCGTTGAACAAAAGTTAAAAGATCAGTTTAGACAAGAATGGCTAGCAAATGTAAATCAATCATCAAAAGGTCTATGTTATAAATTATTCAAAACAGAACTTAAATTTGAAAATTATATTTCAATTTTATCGTTAAATAATGCACTGAAACTATGTAAATTTAGATGTGGCAATCACCGTTTGCCAGTGGAGACAGGGAGGTGGCAAAATGTTCAAAGACCCGAGAGACTATGCCACCTTTGTGAATCTACTGACATCGGCGATGAATTCCATTATGTAATGTCTTGTCCTTTTTTCAAAAAAGAACGATATAAATATTTACCACGCTATTGTTGT